ACTTTTAAATTGTTTTGATACAATGAGGGCAAGAAGAAAATTGATTTTGGTTTATTTTAACAAAATAAATATTTATAAAAATGAATGAATGCGGGTTAAAGCTTACAAGCAACAAATAACTTGTAGATCTCTGGCTATACTAATATCAAATAGTTAATAGTTAATTTATTTTAAGTACAATTTATAATTTGTCTTTAAGAGATTAAAATAATATAAGTATCTCTACAAGCCAAACATTTTGTATATATATATAAATTAACAGAAGTCTGATTAATAAATTTATTAAGAGTATAAGTATAGTTTGCAATTTGTCTTTAAGAGATTAAAATATAATAAGTATTGCATTTCATATTTTTAAAGAATGAAAATGAACAAATATCTATGAAAAAAGTTTACTATGAGTATTAGTTTAGTTCATAATTTGTTTTAAAGAGATTAAAATAATATTTATATTGTAAGGTAAAAAAATAAAAAAATTGTCTATGAAATAAGTTTATTCATTTCTAAAGTTTTCATACATACTGATTGCACTGATCGTAAACAAGAATCCTTCATTTACCACTCGGTTTCTACTCCACCATTGATTCAATATACCCCTTAGCATAGTTAAATCCCGATGAGGAGTGTAGGAGGGGTGCAGACTGGCAAAGGGTATTTGGTAATTAATAGGCCATATAATGATAAACGATCTGAGTGTGTTGTGCGCCCATATCGGACTCTTTCCACCGACTCCATGGAATCCATGATTTAAATATGGCGCATGAAATGCAATAAACAAATAAATTAATTGAGCCAGTGTGGGCGGGGGAGGGGGAGGGGGGGGTAAGGGGGTTGGCCTACCACCTGACAGAAAGAAATATGAAGTGATAGAAATGCCTTTTTACCCATGCCGAACATTGAACATCCACCCTCTCATCCGACCTTTCAATTTTTTTTGTTAGTGGGCCACCCGCATCCATTGAAATAGGAGCATTTAATTGAACTGCCCGCAAATGCAATGACCGCAGGGTCGCAGGATGGGAAGGTTGGATGGTTGGTCTATCACTATTAGCAGGGGACTGGAGGGGTCAGAGGTCAGGGGTCAGAGCTCATCTTTGTCAGGGGTGGAGCAAGCGAGCAAGTGCATGCATTTGAATGAATAGGAGGCGCTTTTTATGGCACAGATACACGAGTTTGGCCCATGGATATTTTCAACTGCAGCTGTTGCGAAAATATTTATTTGTATTTCGTTGCATGTTGTCCGGTACGAAACGGTACGGTACGTGCCATGTGTGCAAGTCGAATCACACATACAGCCACTGGCACGGCACACAGAAATAGAATCGGAAACAGAAAGAGATACTGCCACAAAGGGTAAGAGATAAATAAATCATTAGAAAATAAATAAAGCTGGCAAATAAAATGAAAGCAGCCATGAAAAGCTGTCGATTTGCATTCTCCTTTGATCCAGCATATTGGCTCCTGTGCTGTGGACTGACTCTCTGTCTCACAATCAGATAATTATTTTCAATTTTCATTAATGCGGCAATTGTTTGACTTCTGCAAATATCTCTTTGAATGCACAATTGGACAAGCTATCTCAATTGTAGATTAATCAAAGCCTTACATTTGCGTAATGAAAAGTGCAAGGTTTCGAACATAAGTGCGTATCGAAAAAGGCTTCACTGCATCTTGCAATAGTTAAGTGAAAGATTACACTTAACGTTTTGCTTTTAGAAGTTATAGTAATTGATTTGTATGTGACGTCTGTTCAGCTTTAAAATATTTTAATTTCGTAATCGAGTGAGTAACTAGTTTCTATAGTTTCTTTATCTATAATAAATTTTAATGAATTTTTTACCGCTATTTTTTATTGATTTTATGAAAAAGACAATGTCGAATAACACATCTAACTTTTAATCATATTACTGCTATTAAAAATAAAGAAATAGAGGCTGCCAAAAATACAACTATTCATTAATACCTCGATTAATTTTTGTATTTCTTTATATATAAACTCATTGCTCGTTACTTATAGTTTGGCGGTATTGACGACACATCGCCAAAGAGTTTTATGTTTATTTCTCTCTATTTTGTAATAAGCTATTAAATTTTCACTCTCATTAACCCGCACAGCTGCATCTAATGGCTTAACCCTCCCTGACCCCGCTAGTCCTTTTTCCCCCTGCAAACACCAGTTACTCCGCCCGATTAGATTTTCTTAGTCATCACACTCGGAGTTTTACGATGCATTCCCTTCACTTCGCCACTTCACTTCGTCATTGTCGTAAAGTCAATTTTAATTGAAATTATGATTAAATATAAACGAAAAATAATGTCAACTTTTCAACTCGCCTAATAGTGTCCCATATAAACAATCATGCTCACACACTGATGCGGTCTAAGCCCATTTTTATGAGCTCCAAGCCCAAAAACCAAAACCAAAGCGAAAGCCAAAACCAAAGTCAATTCCGATCCCCGAAAAGGCCAAGAAGGCGATTCAATGTGCTCACCAAATGTTGCTATAAGAAGGTACTGCGAAAAACCTTCGAAACTTAATATTTCAAGACAAAATAGATATAGAAAATAGTTAATAGAAAAAGCAAGTAATATCGACATAAAAATATAGTATTAACGTTTTATGTTTCAAAGGAATCGAATCGAAAAAAAATAATATATCTTTATAGGTTATTTTCTTCTCCTTTGTACTGACACCAAATTTTTTTTTTTCAGTGCACGTGAGGGTCTGTCGTAGATGGCGGTAGTATAGGGATTTTATGGGGTTTATGTTCTGGCCGCACATAAAGCGCTATTCCATGTGTGTGCGTGCGTCTGTGTGGGTGAGTGCGGCCTTAATGTATGCTTTTAATTAATAAGTGTGCGTCTGTTTATTGTTGCATCCCTCTATGTCCCTATATATATATATATATATATATATGTATATAGTATACCCCTGCAACTCCCCCGCCCTTTTTCACAGTCTGGCACAACAGTTTTAGAGCAAACATGGCCAGCTATAAATGTGCGATGCCCGCGTCTGTCAATAAGCCCATCAAGTGCTTTCTGTAAATTAATTTCATGCTCATCACGGATGTTGTTATTGGCTTTTAATGCGTCCTTGGGTGCTGTACTGTGTTGTACTGTGCTGTATTGTGCTGTATAGCCATCCCCCCCATTGCCACCCCCTGCGACCTCGCAGTTTTTGCGCCATATGCGCCCCCATAATGACGTCATTCGGAGAGGGGATAAATGCAAGAAAATTATGTTCTAACAACTGGCTTATGGAGCGAAGAGTTATGACCGCAGATTTCCTCGAACCTGTTTCAACTTTATGTGCCATGCGTCACCATGGCAGAGAAATTCACAAGAATTAGATGGAGTTGTGTTAAATGGTTGAAAGTACATCTTTTAAAATGGGCTCTGCAGCTTTACTGCTTCGGATTAGATTAATTTGACTTTAATGAATTCGTATAAAATCTATATATTAACATACGCTTGTAAAATATATTAGGCAATGCAAAATTGATAAGCAAATGCTAAAGCATATAAGCTATATAAATATATATTTTAACCGAGCTTTTTTATAACCCCTATGGTTCAAATTTCCACAACATTTGAATAAAATATATATTCAAAGGTTTGATAATTTATTTTGATCCTTTGCCTAATCGAATCTGAATCGATAATTTTGTTTTTATACCATTTTGAGCACCTCAATTGATTTTTATAATCAGTTTTGAAGTCTAAACTATTTTTAAACTTTTTTGTATTTGTTAAGCAATAACATAATTAATACAGCTATGTATTGAAAGTGTTTTAATACATATATGTATATTGATTAATGTTGGTGCATTTAAATAAGACTGATATTTTTTAACGATTCTTGGTTATTTGAATGTGAGAAACAATGTAATTATTTTTAAAATAATATATACATTTATGCGGTTCAATAAAACGTATGAAAAGTTGAAAAACCCGTCCTGAATTCTAAAGTGGAACTTGGCTTGGGTCTTGAACAGTGCATCTGTCATGGCATGCGACAAATGTCGAGCGATTGCAGAGCACGCGACGGCTAATGTGGAAGGACTCGCAGTCGGGACTTGAAGCTTCTAAGCAAGGACACTGCCGTATGATAATATGCCACAACTGTCAGCAATATTTCCGCTCCACTCCGCCAGATTTGCCCATCACCTTCACCTTGCAGAACCGGGCACATATCATTGTCAGCTTGAGTCCCGTCGACTTGTCTGAAGAGTCAGAAGTCCAAAGAGCGTCCAAAATGTTGGCATCGCCTTACCAGCTTCACAGTTTCCCAGCTTCACAGTTACCCAACTTCCCAGCTTCACAGCTAAACGACAACAGCAGGAACATCAACGGCAGTCAGCCAAGTGGCATCATTATAACTTGGTCTACACTGAGCGAATTGCCATTGCAATCAAGGGAGGCACAAAAGCATTGCATCTTGTTATTTCCCAAATCGCTCAGACATTTTGTCAAGTGCTTAAATAATGTGTGGGTTCTTGGCATTTGGGGTTTATTGGACTTGAGTGGTTGAGAAAAACTAAGAACCGATAGGGTTTCTATTTGCAATACCGCAGATCACTAAAGTATTTCATTCATTCTTAAACTAAACACATTGTTTTGAAGCTGCGTTAGTTATAGTTTCTCATTTGCAAGCCCTTGCTGTGGCTTTATTAATATTGAGCAAACTATTATTAATCAGAAGAAGACTTTACCGTCTGTTGAAGTTATAAAAATATCACAACTTAAAAATAATATTCCCATAGGGTTTTAAGAAATTCATACAAAATAAGTAATAAGTAAATAAGCACATTATCTAACCAAATTTGCATTTAGCTTATTGTTTATAGCCTAAACTATTATATTAAAAGAGATAAGATTGTAATATGTAAGAATCCTGAAGGAACACATTTGATGTTCATTTAAAAGTATCTTTAAAGGGCATTTTCGCAGTTGAGACTTTTTCGTTTCGGTGATTTTTGGCTTGTGATTTCTCTTACCTTTTCGCCAGGCAAATGACGCCGTCAACGCAGTCATTAGGTGAAGGGGTAGAAAAAGTTGGGGGCTGGGGGGTGGTGGGTGGTTTGTCCTGGTAGTTGTTGTTGTTGTTGTTGTTGCCATTGCTGCTGGCATTAACTTGACACTTTCCCCATTGCCGTGAGCGGAATGCATTCGGTGCCCCCGTGTCCTTCGTTGTGACGCCAGGATGTGTGTGTGGAAATTTATAACTGAAAAAGGCACTTGAAACACATTCGCATGGAAATTGCCGCCCCCAGTCCACACTCACACATTTACTTTGATTGATGTGCCGGCACGAAATCGCCACGGATAATATATGGTAGCTCCCGTCTAAAACGGAGTCTTAATTATTTGCCAAAGCTTCCGGAAATGCCCGTAATTTCAACTGTCTGGAGCGATCGGTGCAGAATAAGAGTTACGTTCGAAGTCCAATGGGTTTTCCCTCATCTAGAAAATAGGAATAGAAAGGTTCAAATCAATTCATCAACTGGGCAGTAAATTTGTTAATTAAAATGTACACTTTTATATGCACACAAAATAAGAGCTAAATTGTAGTTTCTTTAATATGCAATAATTTTAAAAAGCAACAATAAATGTATTATGTTTACTCAAATGCTTTTAAAAATTATCGAAAGAAAATTGAATACATATTGTGTTTTAGACGCTGTTTTTGGCATTCATTAATTCATTAAAAACTTTATTTTTCAAAATTTAAATGATTTAAATCTGTTTTAGGAGAATAAATAGTTTTTTAATTACTGATAAATTAAAATAAGAACATTAAACAACGCCTAAAGTATGTTATCTAATAATATAATTATAATTTTGCAAAAAATAAAAAGAATTACTAAAAGAATTGTTAAAACTACCTCAAATTTAGGAACAATGACAAACAAAATATGGTCCTCTTATACTGACAATTTATTACTGCGTTTTGTTTATTTGGGTGCATTACTAAAGCTTTTTCGAAAACCCAAGTAACTATCATTATGTTTCAAAAATCAGCAGTTTAATTTGTACTATAGACTTAATGTACGTTTCACAGACGATCTCGCTGTTCGGGCTGTTGCAAGGACTTTAGCTCCACTCCAATCAGATGTGAGGGAGTTGGAATATGGCTCCTAAAATGCAAATCGTGCTGAATTGCATTTTTCAGCAAAATGCTTGGAGAGCGGCCTGAGAACTGCGAACTGACCATGGCCATAACCAGAGTTCCTGCTCTGGACTTTGCTGTGCGAGGCGTTGATAAATGTGTGGAAAGTCGGCGCTGGTGTGGTGAAAATTGGGGGTGGGGGAGGGTCGAAAATGGGAAAATGGGGAAAAGGGAGCATCATGGCCAGTGTCACCGCCACTGATGCCGTTAAGTGCGACAGAAATCCACTGAGCCGCATAAAACGAAAGCGTGAAAATGCCAGCGGCCTGCTAATAGAGGAGTCCGCTGTTCCAGAGGCAGCACCACCAACCAACTGGAGTCACCAGGAACATCAGGAACACCAGAATCATCAGAGTCACCAGGACCATCAGGATCCACACCAACACCCACACCCACAATCACATACAGCCCTCAGGAGGCATTCCAGTGTGGCCGGCATTTTTGGATCATTTTTCTTAGTTTTTGTTGGTTCCCTCGGTTTCTTCGCTGGCAACGTTGTTGACAATTTGTCGACGTGTCAAAAGAGTCAACGTGAATGTGACAAGTGACGCTGACGAGACAGGCGCCTACCCATCCTCATCCTCATCCTTATCCATTTTTCGTTCCCACTCGAGGTTCCTGTACCCGCTCCTTTTTGGACACCCCATTTGTTACCCTTCTATATGGTAAAGGCTTTTACCTACTGTCACTTTGTCTTTCTCTAACAACTATGGTTTACGCATAGAAAATTTATAAGCAAGTGCAGGCAAAAAAAAATAAAAAAACTAAAACCAAATTGCACCAAGCAACACAAAAAAAGAATTGAACTAAACACCAAAAGAAAAAATATTAATAATCTCTTCAACCACAATTATTCTCCTAACCGATTATACTTAATATTTGAATATAAATGCTTGGTAGAAATAAAAATTCTTTAGTTATTTTACTAGACCATAAAATTTTGCGTTGTAAATAAAAACAAAGTTTGAATTTTCTTTTGTGGAATATAAATATTTTTAGAAATGCAAATTATGAAGAAAGTCCCAATTAACTTACTCAATATTCTGTTAAATTTTGTACTCATCTAAAAAAAATTAACTTAAATGCATTTAGGTAAAAGTTGTAACACAAAACATGTTTGTGTTTAGCTCAAGCCCAGGTAGGAAGCATTTTTTCACAGTTTTCTAATTTTATTCAGTAAAAGGGTCTCTGAAATTCGTTGTGGGTTCGTGCAATGGAGCCAAAAAATTAATTTCTGCGAAGGGCGAACTCTCGACATTTGGACATAAACGGCATAATTGATATATATACGGCTGCATGTGCGAGCGTGTGTGGATAAAGCTCATCAAGTGCTAAAAGAGGAGGCCGAGTCGTGTCCACAGTCCCCTTGTCACTAATTACATGCATGTCAATTTTTCGCTCATCATTGCATCGTCACATTGCGATTGCAGGACCCACAGCACCCAGTCCACAGCACCCAGTTGCCAGTTTCCAGCTCCAACAGCTGAAAAACCAAACATATTTGGACAGTTTGTGGGCGGAGCGGCACCCTAACCATCTGACCAGCGAAACATTGGACCCCATGGAACACCAGCACCCTTAACGACGTGCGATGCGGCGTATGCGCAATATTTTACAATATTTTACCCTCTTCTTTTAAGCTAACGAGGAAAATTCGATCTGCTGGCGGTGTTATGTGCATTTTACTTAATTAACGCTATAAAAGTGTTCAACGTTTTCCTTTTTGTTAAAGTACAAATTGCAACTCTATGGGTTATCTTATACATAATCTTCATTTGAAATTTTTTTTAAGTTGTCTCTGACAAGATGTTTTCTAGATCAAATAAGATGTATTTCTTATATAAAATAAAAAATTAGAACTGATAGTGAATATGAAACTTAGGAATTCGCGAATTTTTCAAATGTCTTTAGATAATTTAAGTATTTATATTCTTCAGAATTTGAAATCCAGGACCGCAGAGCATTGGATTCTTCGACTTGGTCGTGTTCTTCTCACTTTATTCAATTTTTCATTATTTGCTGACAGCTGTCGGTAAATGGAATTGTTTATTACCTGTCGTCTGCCCCTGTTCATGTCCAAGTCCATGTCCTGGCGTCATCCTCCACCTGTTCCATCCCATGACATCCCTTGCCATCGCATTGCATCCCATCCCATCCCAACCCACGTGGGTGATTATCATAACGTTTGCACTAACCCGGCTGCTCCATCAACTGGCAGCTGAATGTTGACAGTTTTGGTTAGCACAACAAAACGCAATTGTGGACTAACAACGGGCCAGCCCTGGCCGATAATGATAATGATAATGATAATGATGGATGTGTACACAAATCAGGAGTTAAGGGAATCACCAAAGCAGTGGCCCACAAAGGGTTAAAGTGGCCAGTGGGGCAGCGAAAAGTGGAACGTGGGCATGTGGGACTAAAGGCTTTAAATAAAACGCAATTTGAATTACATTATCAAGACCCGTTCGATTGGAAAGCGATGAGGCAGTGTACATTTTATGCTAATTTAACAACATTCTATATTTTTACGTTCTTTAGTATTTAAATATAACATCTCAATTGGGCAAAAATTTTGAATATAATTTAGACACACACTTTTTTACATACAACTCGTGTTCAAGATGTAAACCATTTTTTTTGCTTTCTGAATAAACACAATCCAGTAGAGAAAATAAAATATTGATAAATTAATGATTTAAAGAGGATCATTATAAATATTTAACTAGAATTGCTAGCATTTCTATGTAAAAAAAAAAAGGGTTTATAATATATTCTATATTCTTATTCTAAATAAGCATTGCAATTTTCATGTTGCCTAAGGTAATGGCTAGCACCAAGTTTTATTGAGGTATTTTCATTAGAGGAAATCATTTCTTAATGGGAATCTATTTAGTGCTATCAAAGCTGTAGCTACATGATGCAGCAATCGATCGCTTTGCCCCTCAAACTTCAAACACTGAAGCGAAATATCGCCGCCTGGCCCACTTGACACCCTTTTCGCAGCTCCACAGCCATTTCCTCCTCGCAAAAAAGGAGTCTAATTGCCAGTGCCAAAGTGCCAAAGAATGGAGAGGGCGCACAAAACGAAACGAAAGAAAGCCAAACTGGCAGCAGCAACTGCTTGCAACTGCAACTGCAACGTCATCGGCATCGGCATCGGCAACGGCAACAACAGCAGCATCCGCAGCAGCAGCAGCACCAAATGCAAAGCATCGTGGACTTGCAACATGAGAACCAATTAAAGACATCGTTGGTGTCGACGACGGCGGCAAACGTTGCTGGCAAACGTCAACGTCGAAAACTAATTAGCATAACAAGCGGCAGCAAAGCGAACCGGGGCCCAAACTCCGGTCCAAAGCTGAACCGGAGACTCGAACCGGAGACGGAAGCAGCGCTGGTCACCCGGCAGAGGGTGAGGATGAGGATGAGGATGGATGCGAGGCGGAGGCGGAGGCTAAGGACCAGGGACGTTTGCCGCCAGCAAACAGAAACAACAAATATTGAAAAGATCGACTAATTAATATCAAAATTCAAACAATGCAGTCTTTAAAAAAAGAAATATCAGTAATATCGAAATGATATCGTTACAGTGTCCTAAATTCAGCGTTGGTCACACTAAATTCAATAATATATCGATAACAAAATTAAATTATATTAGAAGTTGAATATGGAATAAGCATAACTGCATATGCATAATATAGCAAATATCAAATCGATACAATGGATTTGCAAAAGTGTATATTAATACTAAAATTAATATTAATGTTACTATTATTTATTAAGTGTTATAATTAAATTGTTCATTTAAACATTAGCTTAAAAAACCCAAGAAATATTGCTTTAAAACAAAGTGCCTTTAAATTTTGGTTATAAGTAAGTCAATTTTCAGATAATAGATATATTTAAGATATGAACCTATTTATTTTTAATGGTATATCACTTAATATCACTATATCAATTAGGTACCCACATATCGATATATTTTTGGCATCCCTAGAGAACGAAGGTCAACAGTGGGAATGTGTGGCCGCCTCAAATCAAAAGTTCGCCCCTGGAGTCACCCTAACATGCACAGATATAGGCAAATACAATTACAAGGCGGTGGGTGGATCCACTGCACCAGGCAACCGTCGGCCACGCCTCCCCGCCGCCTACGCCTTCGGCTGGCATTAATAAACTGTCGGCATAAATAAAATGCAACCAAAATGGAGGAGGAAAGTCTTGGCAAATGAGAATAGCCAGCCATTTGGAGGAGAAACAGGAGAGGCTTAGGTGGAGAAATAGTGGGGTA